CTCTCTCTCTCTCTCTCTCTCTCTCTCTCTCTCTCTCTCTCTCTCTCTTGTGCCTTCGTGCTCGCCAAAAAGGAAGCATGACTGTCCAGACTGTTTCATCGGAGTTCGAACCCCGACAGTCTGCCCAAGATGCATCTGCGTGTGTGTGTGTGACGTCATGTTTGTACACAACTCCATAAAAAAAGGCTCAAGTATGCCAGACTGAACCGAGCACCGATTCCACGATGCACGTAGCACCGTTGCACATAGCACGAAGCACCGATCCCACGAACCAACCGCCGATGCACGTAGCACCGAAATCAAACCCAGCATGAACCAAGCACGGAGTAGCACGAAGTAGCACAAATGCACCCAGTAGCACCAAGTAGCATGAAAGTCGCACCGATGCACGAACCAGACACAGCACGAAGTACCAAGAATGAAGTACCAAGCACTGAGAGAAAGAAAGGGAGAGGGAGAGAGAGAGAGAGAGGGAGAGAGATCCAGAGAGTGAGAGAGAGAGAGAGCGTTACGGTAGGCAGGCCGTAGGCAGGTTGCATGGGTCACGTAGGCTGTAGGTAGGTCGACTAGGTCGCGTAGATCGCCTAGGACGCGTAGGTCGCCAAGGTGGGCGTAGGCATTTCAGTAGGTCGCGTAGGCAAGCCCGTAGGGCATGTAGTACCAAAACGATGTAGCAAGCACTGAGAGAGAGCTACGGTGGGCGGGCCGTATGTCAGGAGGGCAGAGGTAGAGGTGAGGTGGGCAGAGGCGGATGTGAGGTGGGCGGAGGTGAGAGTAGGTGGAGGCGGGAGCGGAGTGGAGGCGGAGGAGAGCTGGCGGGGGAATGCCGAGGGAGTAGAAGAGGAATCCCAACGGGTGGGGGGAGGCGGAGGGGAGGGGACCGGCGGGCAGAGGTGCAGGCGAGGTGGGCGGAGGCGGAAGGTGGGAGCCGGTGGCAGAGTCGAGGTGGGCAGGAGGGAGGGGCCACTGGACTTCAGTGCAGGGGAAGCGCCGCCCTGCAACGGGCCCTGTTTCCAACGGGCGTGCCAATCCGTGCCGCCCGTGGTCCTACCAGCCCGACGGTCCAGATTTCCACACGATCTTAAGACTTCCAGATCGCGCAACGATCCAGGCCGTCCGGCAAAGCAGACGGTCTGGATCGCCGCGCGATCTTATTAAAGTCTTAAACCACTAGTACCTCCACCAGTGTTGGGAAATTACGATGTTTTGCCAGTTCCCGAAAAAGGAAAAAAAGAAAATGCTATCTCTACTGCAATGATGTCGGCCAGGGTAGTCTTGGAGGCCGTGCTCAGAGTCTTCCTCCACAGAATGCACCTCAACGGTAAGGCGGTCGCATTCTGGATGTTACTGTTTTCTTTTTTTTCTTGCTCGTGTGTTTCTTACAAGTCCCCTGCCAATGAGGCAGGGCGGAATCCGTGAATTGCTCAAGCCGTCCGTGGTCTGCTCAAGCTATGTTTTATCAGAGCATTGTAACACTCGTCACACTGGTACTAAGGGGAATGTATCCAGCCATTTTCACGGCCGGATCCGTGTGGCCGTTTTTTTCCCCTTCTATTCTCTTTTTCGAATCTGACAACCTGGCCATGGGGCTGAGATGCCCTCACTGAGGGGCACACTCACACTGCCACTTCCAAGAACGTATACAACTGCAATCACGGCCAAAGCTTTGTTTCGTTTTTTTTTCTTTTTTCTTTTTTTCTGAGTGCACGGCCGCAACTTTTCTTCTTTTTTTTTTTTTTGGTTCTTTCCGTGAGAGTACCAGAAAGAAAACGGAGTGGTACCCAGGCTCGGCAAACTCGGAGCGCAGTGAAATTCAGGGTCGGCAAAACAGGCTCAGAGGTACTAGTGGTTTAAAGTCTTAAGATCAAGCGGAAATCCGGACCGTCGGCTGGTAGACTGCGGGCCGCCTGGATCGGCCAAATCTCATGTCCCGAATAGTGATTTCTATAAGTGTAGGGAAAACTTGGCATTCTCTCTGACACAAACACAAATGAATAAATCTAGGTGTAAGCTGCTAGTATGGAGTCGACCCACGATATTCTTGAGTGAGATTGGAAATAATGGCGGGGGAAGATCCTCAACGACAGGAGCTCAAGAAGCCAGAGCTGGTGAAGAATGATCAGCAGGGAAGGAGGTTATCATGATGGGGGTGGGGGGGGGGGGGGRGGGATGGGTACAGCAGGTGCAGGTGTATATTGAGACAGGATGTCAACAGACGGAGAGCGGGGGCAGGAGGAGGAGGAGGAGGAGGAGAAAGCATAAGATCACGGTTTACGTCTTCTGTTATGGAAGAATACACCTGCTTGTAGTGCAGCTTGACATACTGTAGACGATTTGAATATCCAGGACGTGAACTGTCGCTGAACCATGCATGATGCAAATCAACAGTGATGAGCATTTGAATCGCCCTCCATATGTGTCCTCCATATCCGAATGTGTACCCAATATTTGCATCGTCTACAACATTCAATTCGTCTACATATTTGTAGCTGCCTCCACGTAATGTGAGGCGCACAGCCCCTGCACAAGGATGATACACAAATCGGGAAATGATCCATGTTGTGGAACTTCTGCTTCACGGGGAGCTGTTCACTGCTCTGATGAGAAAGACAAGGGTTTGACTCTCGGTGGCTTCCATCAATCTAGAGGAGCACACAGCAAATGCTTCCCCCCCCACCCCACCCCCTTCAACCCCCCCCCCCCCCCCCCTCTCTCTCTCTCTCTCTCTCTCTCTCTCTCTCTCTCTCTCTCTCTCTCTCTCTGTGGCAAGTGCAGCACCTGCAAGCACCTCACACTCACGCACGCACATGCATGCCTATACGCACACCCAACACGCACACAAACATGCACCCACACAAGCATGCACAAACACGCATGCACACCCCCCCCCGCAGTACAGCGAGGGAGGATGGTGGCGGCGGTGCATTTCAAGAGGCTACCCGTACTGTATTGCAGGGTGGTGGTAGGCCTACAGCCAGGGCGGCCATAGGGCCTAATGATACCAGTAGGGTGGCCGTAGGGCCTGCTGGTAACGTTCAGGAGAGCAGCGGCAGCAGAACCTACCCGTACCAGTAGGCCAATTCTACGTCTATCTGGACTGTTGGGCCCGAGGTACCGGGCCAACATCCTGGATTCATGTGCGAGTTTAGGACTTCACATCGATCCAGGCCGTTAGCACGGGCGGGCCTGAAGGCCCAGATCAAGAGTCTGTTACATGGACGCAACAATTTGGGCCATCAGTCCGGCAGGACCCGATGTCCTGGATGCAAGATTTATTACATTGTTCCGACAATCCAGGCCGTGGCCGGGGACGATCAACAACGACCTGGACCGTAGATTTGTCATGTTCACGATTTTAATAGTGTAGGGAGACGCAGGGAGATAATCACATGGAGACGAACCCAGAGAACACGAATATATAGATGGGTTAAAAAAGAACCCTCCACACCGAACATATCACCATCACGGGTGTTACCATGATCTGGGAAATAAAGGATCTCGAGAATCGGCTGATCCGGAGGAGAGGAGAGGAACGGAAAAGAAAAGGCAGCCTTCCTCCTGAGGAATACAGGCAATTAGTGAGATGCAGGACGAACTCCGGAGTCACAAGGACATGAGAGAGAGATACAGCAGGGGAAGATGGCCACCAAAGCGGCGGTGACAGCGTCAAAACCTACCGCTATTCAGGGCGCATGAATGGCCATGCACAGGCTAGGTAGCAGGCGTGAGCGGCTGCAGTAGCCAAACAGCACTCGCAGCGGTAAGCGACGAGTGCAGGAGTGATATGTTCTGGAACAAGAGATGCCACGACAGGCTGTAGTGTAAGGTGCAGCCCGAGGTCCAGGGTCGCATTGAAAGGAGTTTCAGAAAGAAGAGGTAGTGCATCAGCAGACCAAAGGGAGAACCTAAAGCAGGATCAGTGGAGGAGCTCAAGCCTCAATGAAGCAGAACATGGAGTCCAGGAGCAATTAGGACAGACTACCGTTGAACCCATATGCAGTATCATCACAAAGCGTTGACCTGCATGCCGTGAGGGGTCGTAATAGGAACTAGCTTTCTTCACAAGTAACATTTTAAATTATGTTAATACTAAAAATAGTCATTTGAGATGATTTGACTTGTTATTCAATAATAAATAATACAACACGTGTTGGCCTTCTTTCTTCAATTCCACCTTCGCGTCCTCAGTCCTTCTCCTTCACTTCCTCAGTACATAAATGATATATGGAGAACTAGAATGAAGGCGGAACATGTGGGAACAGAACTGCTCCCTTACTGCCTGTGACGATGCAACTCGCATCGCATCTCCATAAATCGGTTCAGCAATTGGGCACATGCTGAGAAAGGGGAGCGACTTCCTTACCGTTTGTCATCTTGCAGCTAACCACGCATCCTCAGAAATCGGTTTTGAACTTACCTCCGCAGAATCATCTTCCTTGTTTCCCCACGTTCTAACGTCCATCACCCCGCACGGCTCAGCCAATATCCGGATTCCTGCTCAGCCAATCGCCGATCAAAGAGGTGCAGGTGCTGGGCCAGAACCCTGAGTTCTATCAGCACAAGGACCCCGAGCCTGCAGGCAGTGCCAGCAATGAAAATATTCAATCACGACTGATGCCTCAGCCAGAAGCACATGCATCAGGCAAGACTCCAGAGAGATTCCTTGCCAAGAATTTACGGAACAAAGCAAACGTTGTTTGTGAATCGGTTGATGGCCGAGGAACAAACAGGGATAAACACGGTTTGTGGATCGAGTTGTGGTACAAGGGTGACTAAACAGGGGCACCTAGATGACAAAGCATCATCTCTCGTGGAGATGAGAAAGAGCGATCCATACATGTACATTGAAATGTGGAGTTGCACGGAGAAGGAGTGAGCGTCGGCAGCATTGAGTACAGCACAGCAAGGGGAAAACACAGGGAACGCCGCTCACGGACATTGGTTCACAGAAAACTTTCCGAGCATCATTGATTGAACCTCGAAAAAAAAAGATCAATGGTAGTGTCAAGTCCTGAATGCATGCTAGATGATTGCCAAATGCCCCTGCCCCTCCCTGGGCTGAGTGCCATGCCTTTCTCCCTACAACAAACCTCCAGCCCATTGGCTCGCAGCTAAGAGCCCAAACCGTCCTTCGAAACTGGTTCTCTGATTGTTGCAGCTGCAGGCTACGCCAAAGGGGACAACGACACCGCCTGCCCTAACAAACCGACCGAAAACCCAAACGATCCTTTCTGGCAGTGTGCCTCTTTCAGCATATTCGTCAACATCGACACACTATACCTCCAAAAAATCCTCTCTGACTGCTGCAACTGCTGGCATGAACACGGACATCAGCATCTGGCGTCACTTATTGAAAACATTTGTCTCAAATCAATAACAGCCCTACGCCCTGCGGGCAGCAAATCTAAAGATTTCTTCCCATCTCTCATCAGGTCCACCACATCTGGACACCATACCTCCGAAAAAACGTCTCCGATTGCTGCAACTGCTGGGGTGGACACGGACATCGCCATCTGGCCTGTGTATGGGCCGCTGATGCTCGGTGCTTGGAAAGTGGGTGACTGGACCCGCTGGATGCCTGTCGGTGAGCGCCCCCTGCCAAATGCAGCCCTAACTAACCATCCTTACTGCTCATCGAAAATATTTGTCTCAAAACAACAGCGACCCTACACTCTGCAGGCAGCAGATCTGGAGATTTCTTCCCATCCTCACCAGGTCACCAGATAAACCTTGAGCGGCGAGGACACTCCAAATTGACAAATAATGCAAACAATGTCGGTCTTTGGAAATAATGTCACTATTTGAATTGCTCTATGCCCTCCGCATATCACAGACAAAACTGCCCCGAACAAAAACATCCAAAGAAAAAAAAAAAAACTGCCCCGAACAAAAACATCCAAAAAAAAAAAAAAAACTGCCCCGAACAAAAACATCCAAAGAAATAAAAAAAACTGCCCC